ACATAATTGGAAGTAAATCACTCCTCAGCAAATGCAAAAAATGGAAATCATAACAGTCTCTCAGTCCACAATTTCTAATTTGCAATCAAATTAGAATTCAGAATTCAGAAACTAACTCAGAATCACACAACTTCATGGAAAATGAACAACTGGCTCTTGAATGTTGACTGGATAAACAATGAAATAAGACAGAAATAAAGATGTTCTTCAAAACTAATGAGAATGAAGACACAACATACCAGAATCTCTGGGACACATTTAAAGCAGTGTCTAGAGGAAAATTTATAGCAATAAATGCCCACATGAGAAGCAAGGAAAGATCTAAAATTGACACCTTATCATCAATATTGAAAGAGCTAGAGGAACAAGAAAAAAAAAAAAAAACTCAAAAGCTAGCAGAAGACAAGAAATAACTAAGATCAGAGCAGAACTGAAGGAGATAGAGATACAAAAAACCCTTCAAAAAATCAATAAATTCAGGAGTTGGTTTTTTGAAAAGATCAACCAAATAGACAGAACACTAGCCAGATTAATAAAAAGAAAGAGAGAATAATCAAATAGAGGCAATAAAAAATGATAAAGGGGATATCATCACAGATTCCACAGAAATACAAACTACCATCAGAGATTACTACAGACAACTCTATGCACATAAACCAGTAAACCTGGAAGAAATGGATACATTCCTGGACACTTGCATCCTCCCAAGCCTAAACCAGGAAGAAGTTGAAACCCTGAATAGACCAATAACAAGGACTAAAGTTGAGGCAGCAGTTGAGTTAATAGCCTACCAACCAAAAAAACCCAGGTCCAGATGTGCTCACAGCCAAATTCTGCCAGACATACAAAGAGGAACTGGTACCATTCCTTCTGAAACTATTCCAAACAATCCAAAAAGAGGCAATCCTTCCCAAATCATTTTATGAGACCAACATCATTTGATACCAAAACCCAGCAGAGACTCAACAAGAAAAGAAAACTTCAGGCCAATATCCATGATGAACATAGATGCAAAAATCTTCAATAAAATACTGGCAAACCGATTGCAACAGCACATCAAAAAGCTTACCCATCATGATCACGTAGGCTTCATCCTGAGGATGCAAGGCTGGTTCAACATACACAAGTCTATAAAGGTAATCCACCACATCAACAGAATGAAAGACAAAAACCAGATGACTATATCAATAGATGCAGAGAAGGCCTTTGACAAAATTCAACAGCCTTTATGCTAAAAACTCTCAATAAACTAGCTATTAATGAAACGTATCTCAAAATAATAAAAGCTATTTACTAGAAACCCACAGCCAATATCATACGGAATGGACAAAAACTGGAAGCATTCCCTTTGAAATCTGGCACTAGACAAGGATGCCCTCTCTCACCACTCCTATTCAATATAGTATTGGAAGTGCTAACCAGAGCAATCAGGCAAGAAAAAGAAATAAAGGGTATTTAATTAGGAAAGGAGGAAGTCAAATTGTCTCTATTTGCAGATGACATGCTTGTATATTTGGAAGACCCTGTCATCTTAGCCCAAAATCTCCTGAATCTGATAAACAACTTGAGCAAAGTCTCAGGATACAAAATCAATGTACAAAAATCACAAGCATTCCTATACACCAATAACAGACATAAAGAGAGCCAAATCAAGAATGAACTGCAATTCACAATTGTTACAAAGAGAACAGAATACCTAGGAATACAACTAATGAAAGATGTAGAGTACCTCTTCAAGGAGAACTACAAAACACTGCTCAAGGAAATAAGAGAGGACACAAACAGATGGAGAAACATTCCATGCTCATGGTTAGGAAGAATCAGTATCGTGAAAATGACCATAATGCCCAAAGTAATTTATAGATTCAACATTATCCCCATCAAGGTACCAAAGACCTTTTTCAAAGAACAGGAAAAAACCACCTTAAGCTTCATATGGAACCAAAAGAGAGCCTGCATAGCCAAATCAATTCCAAGCAAAAAGAACAAAGCTGGAGGCAGCATGCTACCTGACTTCAAACTATAGTACAAGGCTACAGTAATCAAAACAGCACAGTATTGATACAAAAACAGAGGTATAGACTAACGGAATAGAACACAGGCCTCGGAGACAACACCACACATCTACAACCATCTGATCTTTGACAAACCTGACAAAAATAAGTAATGGGGAAAGGATTCCCTGTTTAATAAATGATGTTGGGAAAACTGGCTAGCCATGTGTAGAAAGCAGAAATTGGACCCCTTCCTGACACCTGACATTAAAATTAACTCTAGATGGGTTAAAGACTTAAACATAAGATGTAACACCATAAAAACCCTGGAAGAAAACCTAGACAAAACCATTCAGGACATAGGCATAGGCAAGAACTTCATGACTAAAACACCAAAAGCATTGACAACAAAAGCCAAAATAGACAAATGGGATCTAATTAAACTCCAGAGCTTCTGTACAGCAAAAGAAACAATCATTAGAGTGAACCAGCAACCAACAGAATGGGAAAAAAAATTTGCAATCTACCCATCTGATAAAGGACTTATATCCAGAATCTACAAAGAACTAAAACAGATTTACAGGAAAACAAACAAACAAACAAACAAACAAACAAACCCATTCAAAAGTGGGTGAAGGATATGAACAGACACTTTTCAAAAGAAGACATATATGAGGCCAACAGACATACAAAAAAATGCTCATCATCACTGGTCATTAGAGAAATGCAAATCAAAACCACATTGAGATACCATCTCACACCAGTTAGAATGGAGATCATTAAAAAATCTGGAGACAACAGATTCTGGAGAGGATGTGGAGAAATAGGAACACTTTTACACTGTTGGTGGGAGTGTAAATTAGTTCAACCATTGTGGAAGACAGTGTGACAATTCCTCAAGGACCTAGAAATAGAAATTCCATTTGACCCAGCAATCCCATTACTGGGTATATATCCAAAGGATTATAAATCGTTCTATCATAAGGACACATGCACATGAATGTTCATTTCAGCACTGTTTACAATAGCAAAGACTTGGAACCAACCCAAATGCCCATCGATGATAGACTGGACAGGGAAAATGTGGCACATATACACCATGGAATACTATGCAGCCATAAAAAAAAACTATGAGTTCGTGTCCTTTGGAGGGACATGGATAAACCTGGAAACCATCATTCTCAGCAAACTGACACAAGAACAGAAAATCAAACACCACGTTTTCACTCATAGGCGGGTGTTGAACAATGAGAGCACATGGACATGGTGGGAGCATTACACACAGAGGTTTGTTGTGGGGGACTAGGGGAGGGACAGTGTTGGGTAGGGAGTTAGGGAGGGATAACATGGGGAGAAATGCCGGATATAGGTGACGGGGATGGAGGCAGCAAACCACATTGCCATGCATGTACCTATGCAACAATCCTGCATGTTCTCACATGTACCCCAGAACCTAAAGCGCAATAAAATATATATAAATAAAAAAATTAAAAAAAATTCAAAATGAAAGTCTGGTATTTACTATTTCATTTCAGATAAGAAAGATTAAATACAGTTTTATTTTTAATCTCCCAAGTTTATAACCTATAATATTAATACTATGTTAGTCTTATTCAAATGTTTGTTGTAGGAAATTGCGTTGGCTCACTAAAGTTATACATTTTATTTGTCATAGGAAATTGAATTTACTCACCAACCTTTTGATAATTAACCCATGACTATGACTCCATTGATTTTACTAAAATTGACCTTATCTACATTTAAACTCTGTAAATTCTCTTTAGATAGGAAACTCCCTTAAAGTCTTAGTTTAGATTTTTCTTCTTGCTGATTGTACAGTTAAAATAAAATGCCAAATCTCATATTTTTACACTTCCAAAAAAATTTTAAAAAGTCAAGTTTAGGAAAATCAATCTGGAGCTACATGCAGCCTGAGTTAGAGGAAGCGGGAAAGATAGTTAAGAGGGGATTGTGTGCTCTTTTCCTGTCCATTTCCTCTATTGTCTTCCTAGTAGCAATTGCTGCTGCTGCTGCTTATCCCAGTAGATACGGATCTAGAAACTGCATGATTTTGCCATTGATTGGATCAAGGTCTGAATGTGGATAAATGGGAAGAGCGGGTAAATAGCAATTCTGGCATTTCGTGGCTGAGGATCAGAGATACTTCAGACAGGTGGAATAGCTGGTTTGGATGGTAATCAATAAGGAGTTTGAGATAAGGTTAGGCAGGTTACATTTCAAATCTCAGTGGGATATTGAAGTAGGGGTTGCCCAGGAGACAGCTGTAAATTGAAATATGGAATTCAGGAAATAGATTAGAGCTACTGAATGGATTACAGAGTTTTCATTTAGGATTGAAAGCTGGAAATTGAGGACTGAGAAAGATCTACAGAAAGAGTGTAGAGGTAAGAAGAAAGAAGTATGGAGGTGCTTGCTTCAAGATATCATATTAATAGGCTAAGATGTTTAGGAAAGATGACACCTTCAGCTCTTAAGAGTTAACACCTGGCTGGGCACAGTGGGGCACACCTATAATCCCAGAACTTTGTGAAACTGAGCCAGGAGGATCACTTAAGGCCACAAGTTCAAGACCATCCTGGGCAACACAGCAAGACCCTATCTGTACAAAATAATTAAAAATTATCTGAGCATGGTGGCGTGTAACTGTCGTCCTAGTTACTAGAGAGTCTGGGGTGGAAAGATCACTTGAGCCCAGGAGTTTGAGACTGCAGTGAGCCCTGATCTCACCACTGCACTCTGGCCTGGATGATAGAATTAACACCTGACCAAAACAGGAGAGTGTCTGAAGTAGAGAAAGGGGCATTAGCAGGGAGTGAGGAGGGCATTCAACACCTAAGGTGGCCTCCATTCTTGTCCTGCCCTACGTGTTGGTTTGCAAGTGAATCCATCCAGAAACATCAGAGCCGGAGCTGCCAGGCAACTCTTCTACTTGTGGCCAACTCAAACCTCATTCAGAGGTCTGAAGTGTTTCCCCATAGTACTCACCTGGCAGGAAGTAAAGTAACCAAAGCCAGGGGTCCATTGTTCCTTCTAGAGCACAAGATCCATCCAAGAGCTCCTAGAGAGGGGACAGAGACACGCTGCTTTCTCAGGAACCCTTCACGATTTGAAGCGTGAAAGAGATTTCTAGTCCTCAACGAGGAACAAGCCTTGATGATGAGGAAATGACAACTTTGTTTGCTAACTACTCTTAGGCTAAAAAGAGAGCGCATACAAACCACAGCGGAAGTCAGGAGCTAAGAAAACATGTTGTGTTGAATGAGAAAGCGTCACCTGGTTTAGGAGGCATCTAGGAAGTTCCTCTAGACTCTTAGCAGTGACCAGCCTGATACTCCTTCGCCTCGGCGCTTCTTCTCGGCAGGGCCTCCCGTGCTTTATGTATACTCATTGGTTTCTGAGCTGGGGTCATTTACTTTCATTCTGCCTTCAGGATAAAAGAGCCTCCTCACTGATTTTCCCACCCGAGAAAGGCTATATGGTCAGAAGGGCGGGCCTGAAGTCAGAAGATGCTGGCTGTAGTCCTTACCAGTCACCAGTCAACTCATCTTTACAGAGGTTTTTGAGCACCTACTATGGGGTTAAACTAACTATGGACTTTGAGGAATCCATTACTTTTCTCTGAGCCTGAAGTTTTTCATCTAGGAAATAAATGAAGCTGGGACTAGATGATCCCTGGCATTTCCTCCTGTGGGACGTAGTTCCGGGGCCTTCACCGTAGCCCCCCAGCACCTCAGCCATCCCTCACCCTTCATCTCCCCCAACTGTCCCCACAAGGTGCTGCCCTGTGGCAAGGGCTCAGGTCTCCATCCAGTGACCAAGGCAGTGCCAGGACTGGGGTGTGACAGGTCATGCAGCCACTCTGCCTGAAGTCACAGAGGCCTGGTAGAGCTGCCCTTCAGGACCCTGAGGGCCCAAGGGTAAGGTCCATTAACTGATGGAGCAAGATGCTGAGGCCACAGGGCATCTTGGGAAGAGCTTTGGATCCAACTCAGAAGACCTCAGGTCTTGTCCTGGCTTGGTACTTTCTAGCTTCGCGTAAATTTCCTTAGGTCTCAGTTTTCTCCTTGATAAAATAGGGATGGCCCTTGCCCTTCCCACCTCACATGGCTTTTGTGAGGCCCGGCAGAACTTGCAGGCATGGAAGTGCTTTGAGAAGCCTTCGCTGTGAGCTGCGCAGGGATAGTACTTATGAGAGCATTCCCAGGGCTCCGTTCCTAGAAGTTGCATCCCCGGAGGTCAGTTCCCAGGGCCCCATCCCCAGGTGCAAGGGTCCCTGGAGGATCCGGGCTATTCTCATACTGTTTCTGGGAGGGTGTGACTGACAGAGCTGGGCTCCACAGGGGTTGTGTAAGCTACTCCTTGCTCGCCCCCACACACCGGATTTGTCACATGCTCTCCAAAACAACAACATAGGCGGCGGAGGTTGAATGTGAGGCTCAGAGCAGGTGCAGAGGAAGTGTGTGCGTGGGCAGGCAGCCTGCCCTGCCCCATCCCTGAGTCTCCCTTGGCCCAGAGCAGCTGTGGCTGTGATGTCCTCCAGCCCTGAAATGGGCCAAGATGGCAGAGGGCAGCTCAGGCCTCTGCTTGGTGCCAGAGCTCCCAGCTAGGATCAGCCCCACCCTTCCCTACGTGGCAGGCTCTTCCCAATGCCCCAGAGCTGTCACGCAGCTGGACTCCACCATGCGCTGGGCTTGAGGCCTCGGACTGTCTTGGAGAGACAGAGAAGAGTATGAGTCAATGAACGTGATGTGTGTGTGGGCAAGAGTGTGTGAGGGTGAATATATGTGTGAATGTGTGAGTGGGTGATGTGGGTTGTATGGCTCTGATGTTTGAGCACATGAAATAAGTGTGGCATGTGACTGTGAGGTGTGGTGTGTGAGGGTGTAATTTGCATCGTGTGGTACATGATGTGTGTGTGGTGTGTGGCTCTAGTGTCAGTGTGTGTAGTCAGTATGTGAACATGTGTGTGGCTAAGAGTGTGTCATGTGTGTAGTGTGTGAATGAGTGTTGTGGGCTATGAGTGTGTGTGCTGTGTACTGTGGGAAAGTGTGTTGTGTGACTATGAGTGTGTGTGTTATGTGTAGTGTATCTGTGTGAATGTATGATGTGTGGATGTGAGTGTATGATGTGTGAAGTGTGTGTGCACATGTGGGGTGTGTGATTGTGAGTGTGCATGTGCCCTGTGTATATGTGAGTGTGTGAATGTATGGTGTGTGGCTGATTGTGTGCTGTGTGTAGTGAATGTGAGTGTGTGGTGTGTGGCTATCAGTGTGTGTGCTGGGTATAGTGTGTGAGTGTGAATGTGTGGTGTGTGGCTATCAGTGTTTGTGCTGTGTGTAGTGTCTGAATGTGTGAATGTGATATATCAGCAAAAACTTGAACTTTAGAATATCCATGTTCCTGTATCTAGGACAAATATTTTTGGCTCTAGTGTGGCTATGAGTATGTGCTGTGTGTCGGATGTGAGTGTCAATGTGTGGTGGGTAGCTATGAGTATGCGATTGTGAATATGTGTAGCTGTGTGTGGCTATGAGTGAGTGTGTGCTATGTGTACTTGTGTGAATGTGTGGTGTGTGGTTATGAGTGTGTGTGAATGTGTAGTGTATGCCTATGAGTGTGAGTGTGAATGTGGTGTGTGGCTGCACGTGTGCTCTGTGTAGTATGTATGTGTGTGAATGTGTGGTGTGTGGCTATGAGTGTGTGTGTGCTCTGTGGAGTGTGTGTGTGGTGGGTGCTTGTGTGTGTATGGTTTGTGACTATGTGTACTCTGTGGAGTGTGGCTGTGTGTGTTCTCTGTGGAATGTGTAATGTGGTTATGTGCGTGTGAATGTGTGTTGTGTGGTTATGAGTGTGTGTGATGTGGCTATGTGTGCATGCTCTGTATAGTGTGTGCTGTGTGGTTATGAGTGTGTGAGTATGAGAGTGTTGTGGGCTGTGTCTGTGCTCTGTGGAGTGTGTGAGTGTGTTGTGTGTGGTTATGAGTGTGAGTATGAGTGTGTTGTGTGTTGTGTGTGTGCTCTGTGGAGTGTGTGGTGTGTGGTTATGAGTATGTGAGTGTTGTGTGCTGTGTGTGTGCTCTGTGGAGTGTGTGAATGTGTGGTGTGTGGTTATGAGTGTGTGAGTATGAGACTGTTGTGGGCTGTGTGTGCACTCTGTGAAGTGCATGTGTGGTGTGTGGTTATGAGTGTGTGAGTGTGAATGTGTTGTGGACTGTGTGTGCTCTGTGGAGTGTGTGTGTGTGTGGTGTGTGGTTATGAGTGTGTATGAGTGTTGTGGGCTGTGTGTGTGCTCTGTGGTGTGTGTGCTCTTTGGAGTGTGTGGTGTGTGGTTATGAGTGTGAGTGTGAGAGTGTGTTGTGGACTCTGTGTGCTCTGTGGAGTGTGAGTGTGTGTGCATGTCTGTGATCTGGGTTTGGCTGTGCTGAGTCTGGGGCCTGCCAGGCAGGGCAGAAGGTGTGTGGAATGCAAGTGGGTAGGAGAGCCTTTCGCATCACGTGTGGCCCAAGTGAAATCCTGAAAACATCCCATTAGGTTGTTAAGACTAAGACTTAGGGGTCTGAGGGCTGCTGGGCAGGAGGTGAAATTTTGGAGTTTGAGGGGATCAAAACTCCCAGAACTGGGCCTATCCTGTCTGTATCTTCAGCTGTTACCCCTGGATCACGGGGGTTGGGGCCCAAGGGAACATTGATGACTGGTGTGATTACTTCCTTACTTTCGTCTCTGTTTTTCTCGTCTGAACTTGATTTCTCCTTTCCGACTCACAGGGCTGCCATGGTGCTCTGTGGAGTGTCATGTGTGTGAATGTGTGGTGTGTGGCTGTGAGTGTGTGCTCTGTGGAGTGTCATGTGTGTGAATGTGTGGTGTGTGGCTGTGAGTGTGTGCTCTGTGGAGTGTCATGTGTGTGAATGTGTGGTGTGTGGCTGTGAGTGTGTGCTCTGTGAAGTGTGTGGTGTGTGTTTGTTTGTGTGAGTGTGTGGAGTGTCTGCCAGGCTGGAGCACACCCTGGGGCAGGGGAGCCAATGGCCCAGCACCCTCTAGGGGCCAGAAGGCGTGAACCTGATGGAAAACATTCACAGCCCCGGACAGCCAGGTGGAGAGAATACATCATGTGAGAGACAATGGAAAGTGTAAGACCCTCCGGTGGATTCATCCACTCTCGGTGATGACCTTCCAGCTTAGGCTCTGCCATCCTCCCTATGTCACAGATGGGCTAAGAAGAACATTTCCCATAAGGCTGTTGTGAGGCTCACATGAGGTCAGTGTTACCAGGGACATAGCACACGGCCTGTGATCTGGTCAGAATGCGGTGGAGATGAGCCGCCCCCACTGCTGGAGGTTGCTGTCATGGGTTCTGCCTGGTTATTGCATGTCTCTACTTTAACCTCCTCATGGCCGGGTTAGAAGGGCCATTTCCTGGGCCTTCCCAAACTGAGGGCCTCCATTCTCAGGTGGTCCACGACCCCATGCTGTTCTCTGCGATGACCACAAGAATCTCCTTGTCTGGTGGACTCAACAAGAACAAGCCCCCGCCCCAGGGAGAGGCACCTGACGCAGGCAGCCTGTGGTCCCGTCCTTCCCAGCACCACAGGACCCCAGGCTTGCCTGTCCCAGAGCGAGTCACTCCGCAGGAGTAGGGCCTTTGAGCATCCCCCCTTACAACAATAAGCCTATTTGTGACTTTTTAAAAAATAAGAAATGGTGGAATTTTGGTGACTAAGATTTCTTTCCTGACTACGGCCATATTCCTATTGGAGTTCTGAGGTTAAAACTCCAAACTTTTGGAGGACTTTTGGGTCAACTTCCATGTGACATAACAGCAAAAACCTGGATTTTAGAATATTCATGTCCCTATATGTAGGACAAAGGTTTTTGGCTCGGGAGAGCAGCTTGGCTGCCCTTTTAAGAATCAGCCAGGCGCTGTGGTTCCCACCTGTAATCCCAATACTTTGGGAGGCCGAGGTGGGTGGATCACAAGGTCAGGAATTTGAGACTAACTTGGGTAACATGGGCAAACCCCATCTTTACTAAAAAACTACAAAAATTAGCTGGGCCTGGTGGGTGCACCTGTAATCCTAGCTACTCAGAAGACTGAGGCAGGCAAATCACTTGAACCCAGGAGGCGGAGGTTGCAGTGAGCCGAGGTTGTGCCATCGCACTCCAGCCTGGGCAACAAAGCAAGACCCCATCTCAAAAACAAAACAAAACAACTCCCAAAAATAAGAATCAGCCTTGGAATAGACACTCCAGACCTGCTTGGTTTCTACTCAGGGTGGAGCCTCCTCAGGGCCTGCCTCGCTCCATGGCCTGCTGGGGCCTTTGGTCTCAGCCTCACAGCTTGTTTCCAGCGTGTCCACTGTCCACTTAGACATGTAGCCTTTTTGAGATGGTCTCTTACTTTCGTTGCACAGACTCCCTAGTAGAGACCATTATTTTAGGAAAGTTGGGGGTGATGGTGGGAAACTCAACTTATTTCTCTGCCTGGGGGACCCGTTTCATAGACCACAGCACAGCCCATTCCTCTCGCTGCTGTTTAATGTTCTTGGGAGAGATGTCGTGTCTTGAGTCTTGGAAAAGTCTAAATCAGGGATCTATTTTTAGCTTTACAAAACAAAATCAATGACTCTCAACAACTTCTTGGCTGGATGCGGTGGCTCACGCCTGTAGTCCCTGTGCTTTAAGAGGCAGAGGCGGAAGGATTGTGTGAGGCCGGGAGTTCCAGACCAGCCTGGGCAAAAAACAAGACCCTGTCTCTACAAACAAACAAAAAAATTTCTAACCACTGTTGGGCCCCACAGTGGTTGAGCATTAATAATAGTTGGGCCTTAATAATACTCCCGTTGGGCCTTAATAATAGTTCTGTATTTACATATTGGACTTTAAAAAATAATAAAGATTAAGATAATTCAAGAATTTGGGGAAGATTTCCTTGTCCTCAAGTGTTTAAATAGTTCCTTGAATGCTCGGGGCCGCGGGCCACTGCTCATCAGTCCTGCAGTCGTCTGTCACCGCCTTGTCCTGAGCTGAAGCCCAACCCCTCCAAACCCACGTCCACTGGAACCTATGGACCAGCTGTCTGCTTTAAGAGGGTTTCTCGTGCTACACGTTGGGGCAGATGGACTTTGGACGGCACTGATAATATCACTTAGGAACAACATAAGATCGCCTTTGGCTTTAGTGACATTTCTTGACCTTTGCTTCTGGGGACTGGGATAGGTGGCATGAGCTCAGGACTGTCTCGCCGGCTATTGGCACTGATAACGGAAGTTGCATTTTAATTCTCTACCATACACCCGGCCCTTTGGTGAGTCAGAGAACAGCTTCCCAGAGGGGTAAGACAGTGGTAGGTTCTGACACACCTTGTCATTTTGATTCTCCTGGAACGATTTGGTGTCATTCCAGAAGCAATGCTTCCCCCCCATAAAGAGAGAAATAAACATTCCTGATACCCCCTCTTCTGGCTGGATAGAAGCCCAAGGCTCTGACGCAGGTCAGGGCCTGGGAGCTGAGACTGACTACCGTAATTACTGGGGCTGAAGGGGAAACCAAAAGAGGACTGAAGGCTGAGTCCCGGGAGAGGGTAGGCTCGGGAAGCTCGTAGCAGCCTCAGCATTATGTGCAAGGCCCTGAGTGGAAGCAAAGGTTCTCATCATGTCGGACTGGTAGACTGGGGAGAACTCTCACAGAGAGAACCCTCCACACACTGAAGCCCCGTGGAATAGTCCAGGGGTGAGATGGGGGGCTAGCTGCCAACAGACAGCTTGGACAGTCCTTATAGGATATGACATGGTTTTGCACCAGAACTTAGGAATGAGCTTAACAGACAAGGGGGTCCCGGAGTGCCTAAAAGTGGGACCAAAGCAAAAGGCAGCCGGATGCCGTGGTTCATGCTTGGGTTCCCAGCATTTTGAGGGGCGGAGGTGGGAGGATCACTTAAGCCCAGGAATTCGAGACCCGCCTGGGCAACATGGCAAAATTCTGTCTCTACAAAAAAGCACAAAAAGTTAGCCAGTGTGGTGGCAGATGCCACCAGCTTCTCTGGAGGCTGAAGTGAGAGAATCACTTGAGCCCAAAGGTCGAGGCTGCAGTGAGTCATGACTGCACCACTGCACTCCAGCCTGGGCAGCAGAGTGTCCTGTCAAAAAAAGAAAGAAAAGAAAAAGAAGGGCTCTGAAGGGGCCACCTGGGAGACAGAAGGTATTGGGGACAAATACAATCTGAGCCTTCTTGGTGGCAATCACAGTCTTTAATTATTCATTGTCACATTTCTGATTTGTTAGCAAGTATCAGCTTGTAGGCTGGCTGAAGTACAGAAATCAGAGGGAAAAAGAAACTGAATTTTAGCTTTCTGGAGAGCTGCCCCTCTGTGGCACCATCAAACATTTCTTTGCTTCCCTTCAACTTGGAACTCTTGAAACATCAGGGGTTGTGAGGGATTGGCTGTTCTTGTATCTTAGGTCCATGATGGATAGGGTTGTCTTCCCTCAGGTGGGTCTGGGAAAGATCAGTCTCCTTCCTTTATATTTTCTCTTCTTCCTCCTCCTCCTTATTCTAAAACTGTACCTCCAAAAGAGGGGCAACTACCCTTGCAGAGAGATCCCTGGCCCAGGACAGGAGACGTCAAATTTAGTTTATCTCACCGAGAGCCCTTGAGAAACACACTTCAGGGCTGGGTGCAGTGGCTCATGCCTGTAATCCCAGACCTTGCAGAGGCTGAGGCGGGCAGATCATTTGAGGCCAAGAGTTCAAGACCAGCCTGGTCAACATGGCGAAACCCTGTCTCTATTAAAAAAAAAATACAAAAAATTAGCCAGACATGGTGGCGCACGTATGTAGTCCCAGCTACTCAGGAGGCTAAGGCGTAAGAATCACTTGAACCCAGAAGGCGGAGGTTGCAGTGAGCTGAGATCATGCCACTGCACTCCAGCCTGGGTGACAGAGTGAGATGATGTCTCAAAAAAAAAAAAAAAAAAAAAAAAAGAAAAGAAAGAAAGAAAAAGAAAAAAAAACCCACTTTACTCCTCTAAACCTCAATTTTCTCACTCGTGAAATAGTAAGAATGTGGGTTTAAAATGACCTGTAGGTATTTCCTTCATACATGACACCTAAGGCCTTAGGACTGAAGATATTTTATGCTATCTCCCAATAGAGGCAGAGGTGAGCACACCTGGTGAGAAGTTAAGACTCAGTGAGTGTAAATTCGCCAGGAGGAGCTGTGGCTTCTTTCACTGGTGTCCTCAGAAAGGCTGTGAGCACACCTGTGCCAGCCTCCAGCAGAGCGCCTGGACTCTAGTACATATTCAAATGAATCTTGTGATGGAAGAAAAGAAGAGAGGAAGGACAGGAGGGAGGAATGGAGTGGAGGGAAAAATTCCATTGCCATCCCGTGATAAGGGTGCAGACAGGCACTACATGTCTCCTTTCTGCAATCAGCTCTCCCACCCTGGTCCCTCTTCCTTCAAGGGACACCTGAGGACCTCTCTCTTCTCCTCCATACCTGAGATTCTCTCAACAGAAAGAAGCTACAAGTGGGACCTCCTCACGCCACCCTCACCCCCAACAGAACAATTAGACCAGGCTTTAGTGTCATTGACGAGGGGACCAGTATGCCTCTGAGGACAGCAGGAAAAACCTAGGCGGGTGTGAGGGCAGGCAGCAGGGTCCCTGGCAGCGGAGGGCCCCAGGATCGACATGATTCTGAAGGTGATTGTCATGGGTGCAGGGAGCAGGCGGCAGCACCATCTACGCTTCCCGGGGGCCGTCCTGGGCCTCAGCGGCCACCGCGCTCGACTGCAGCAGGAAGTCTCTGTAGACCATCTCGGCTTCCTCCTTGGATGACTAAGGGGCAACAGGAGAGGCGTCAGTGTTGGGGGCACTGGCTCAGTGGGTGGAGTCAGAGGGGAGAGGAGGGAAGGTACTCAGTGTCCTGAATTCATGGTCTCCACCCAAGTAACACAAGCCGGTGGGGCCCACCGTTCTCATCCCAGCCCCCAAGCTCACCAAGAAGGACCCAGTTTGAGAAATGGAAATTTGCTGCCTCTAAAAATATCTCCCTCTGTCTCACTACCTCCTTCTGACACATGGAGTGGAACCACCTCGGTTGCCTGGGCCTGTCCCCGGAAGCTGTGCCCACACAATCCACGGGCAAGGTACCCTAAGCTGGGGTCAACCACGGTGGCTTATGTTTTTCTTTCTCTACCAGCCCAGAGAGGTAGCTTTTCGGCACCACGAAGCTAAAGGGGAAGGAATAATTCGTTCTGACTTTGCTAAATGCCCGAGCGGTTTCAAGCAAAAGCAGGTATGAGAAACAAAACAAAACCACGATTGCCTCGAGATTGGAGGCACGAGATGTTATTTTCCGGGTGCCCTGAGTCCTAGGGAAGCTGGAGGGAACGGTAATACGGCGCCCAAACGCAGGAGTTGCCTCTGGTGGGGCCGCTAGCTTCAAACTGCCCACGTCTCCTGGGCCCAGGCAGAAGGCTGGTCCTGAGCAAACCCTCAAGGGAGGATGCGTGACCCAAGATCCTTGGGTCCCCCAGCCCAGGAAGAGCACGCATGTCAGCAGCATTCAGCATGGGAGCGTCCCACCTGCGACGCCATCTTTCATGCGCCCACTTTCCGCGTCTCCCGCCTGCCTCCCTCCTGCAGCTTTACAGCCTAGTCATGCAGCTCACTCCTTCCTGGGCCTCATCCACATCAGCATCCCGCAACCAGTAAGATATAACTGTTCCTCAAAAGGTCTTGAGGACTCCTAAGGACTATGTACACCATCCTCCCTATTCCGGGATCAGCCCACATGTTGAGGTTAACAGTTCTTCCTGAAGTCTAACTGCAGTCCCTCATGCTGCATTTCCTTGTCCCATAGTGGGGGTTACTTATTCCTCCTCACCCTTTTTGCCTTCTTGGGTTCCTTGGTCTCCGTGGTGCTCTCAGTGGTGGCAACGAACCCTGTGTGAAGAGAGGGGATAGATTAGCCCTTACTAGCCTCCTTTTCCCAACCCCGACGTGGGGCCAATTCTTGCTCCCCCCAGGGGCTGAACATTCTCTTGAGTGAGGGCCATACCATCTTTTCCTCCGAGTGATGTCTCCTGAGTGATGGAGGAGGCTCCCATGTTGTCATTGGCTCCAAATTCCCTGGAGTTCTCAAAGTCTGACATGCTAATGTCTGTCCTGTAGCTTCTAATTGAAACTCGGTCTGTACAGGAGGAAGAGGAGTTGGTGCAGGGACAGGGGCTGGGGCCTTGAAGGCCAGGCTGGGCGGATCTGCTGCAGCCCCGCGGGACAGCTGAGGTTGTGCACCTGACTATGGCCCAGGCGGATGGAAAGGATCCTCCCTAGGCCCTTTTCCTGGGTCATCAAGACTTGATAATCCCTGATCTTTGTTTGTCACTCTGGGAACTTTCAATGCACAGCATCTCCCTCGGTCCTCACATCAGCCCTGAAGGCGGCGATTATCACCCTTGTCTTGACCCATGAGGAAACCGAGTCATGGCATAGGGATGCCCCAAAGTCACACAGCTCATTAGTTATCCATCTAGTCCAAGCCCAGGGTCTCCCAAAACCCGATCTCCTCTTCCTGGCAGCTCTGCCTCTGAACGTAGACCACGGGTATTTGGAGATGATTTTCCAAAGATAGTATTTGGACAACAGCTCAGACTTTAAGTTTTGAGTATGTGTGGGTTTATCTTTCCCCATCCTGCTTTCTCGGGATCCTTTGTTTTAGCCCGTGAAAAAGAAGAGACAACACAGCCTCCTCCACGGGCAGATGATTCAGGACTGAGGGCTGGGGTTGGAGGTGGGAGGCCGGGAGTATCTCAGGGACTCACCCACGTTCTTCCTGTGCCGGGCTCTGGCCACCCCCACGGCCACGGCTCCCAGTGCCAGCACCAGGCCCAGGGGCACCAGGGTGGAGACCAGCACTCTGGAGCTCCCGCCTTGTTCCTCAGAGCTGGAAGAAGACTTACATTAGTTCATCTCTGGAAGGGAGAGCTGGGGGCCCAAGGAAATGCTGACAAGGTTGGCTCGGCTACTTTTTCCTCCCGGGTTTATTTATCCACCCCATCCAGCTGATGCAGCTCCCTAGCTCTGTTCTTCTAAGAAGGCTTCCCAGGCTGGCAAAGGCAAGCACTGGATCTGGTTGCATCCCAGGCCTGGAAGACGGAACTGCATTGTAAACACCTCCTCAGCCATGGGAGAGGGCAGAGGGTGCCACGGGACCCTCCCACGTATAAGCAGAGGTCGTAAGGGCTGCCCCAGTGCTCAAGAGACAGACAGGCTCTCCTCCTTGGACCTGGTGGCCCAACCTCAGGTCCTCGGCTCTGGGGTGTTCTCCAAGTGGGGAGCCTTGAATCCTTCCTCACCTGCTGGAATCCACAGATGCTCTGCTCCCACCACCTTGATCTCCTGTATCTGCCACCGCCTTTTCCTCTGCAAAAAGCCTGGGCTCCTGAGCGGCTTTGTTCTCAATCTCCTGGACGCCAGACTCTAGCACCTTCTCATCAGGGGCAGCGTCTGCTTTCGCTGGGCTGGCATTGCGGGACCCTGCAACAGGGAAGATGGGAGGCCTGGGTCGTGGTTTTTTCCTCCATGCTCTTACTCTTTGAGGTGAAGGAGTCTGGGGAGACTTCATAAGGAATCACAGGGTCAGGGTTCGAGCTCAAGGCTATTAGGGTAGGACCCAGGATGACATTAGAAACAGAGCCGCGATGGCCTTTGTCAGCTGTCACAGATGATCTCTGCCCCATTACTAACAAAAGTATGGTGGGGACCTTCAAGGCTTTGTGTATTAGATCATCTGTGCATAAAGGCTGACCCATCACTTAGGCCAGGGAGATTTTCATGGCTCTCCAGGCTTCCTGACTGCAGAGTTGGCTGCAATAGTGCTGCCCCCTGGTGGTAGCCTGGAGATGGGCCCCTCAGCGAGTCCCACCGGCAGGGTCCAGACGCAACAGGATTTCTTGAGGGATTACAAAATACCCTTATCAGGGATAAAACAATTCATGTAAAATTTTAAAAAGGCGCTTGAAATGCAAACTTACTAGATGAGGTTGCCTAATTTTCTTAATCAGACTTTGTAAATGAAGGTATCTGGTCTTCTTTTGAGGGCAAGCTTTGGCAAGGGGAAGGAGGATGAATGTATTGCATATAACAGTGATGTATGCGTATTATCCTTCTATGCACAGAAGAATATTTCCAGACAGAGAAGAGACTTCAATTTGGGCTGAAGTGACAACTATTAAACTTGGTTTCTTTTTTGTTTCTGTTTCTGTTTTTGTTTTGAGATAGAGTCTAGCTCTGTCGCCTAGATTGCACAGATTGCAGTGGTGCAATCTCAGTTCACTGCAACCCCAAGCGTCCTGGGTTCAAGCAGTTCCCACACCTCAGCCCCCAAGTAGCTGGGATTACAGGCGTGTGCCACCATGCCTGGCTAATTTTTGTATTTTTAGTAGAGACGAGGTTTCTCCATGTTGGCCAGGCTGGTCTTGAACACCTGACCTCGAGTGATCTGCCTACCTCGGCCTCCCAAAGTGCTGGGATTACAGGTGTGAGCCACCACCTTCAGCTGGGACTTGTCTTAATGCCGAGGTTAAATAGCAAACCCACTATTTCTACTTAGTGGGTATGTTTATTCGAGATGTCCCTTTTGAAGGGCTCAGTGAGGCTATATAGGACCTAAATGTCCCCTCCCTTCCCCACCCACTTTCAGCCTCTGACAGCCAAACATAGGGGGCCAGCATTGATTGAGAAGCTCTCAGGCAGGGGCCTTCAGGGAGTCCTGCCTCTGGGTCTGGGGGGCACAGGCCCTGCCCTTGGAGACTCACCTGCCACCTTCTTGTCTTTAACTGTCACATGGACGGCTGCAGTCTCTCCGTAGGAGTGGTCCTGCTTCACTCCACACCAGTACCAGCCTTCGTCCGCCTTGGTCACTGAGTTCAGGGTCAGGGAGACGATCCGGCTGTTCTGGTCGCAGTTCACGAAGGCCGGGCTGGGGCCTTCATCTTGGCTGGGCAGGGCCCGGCAGCCCTTCTCGCTCCACTTGCACCAGTATTTCTCGTACGAGTAGAATTTGCATGGGAAGTGGCAGGGGAGCTTGAGAGTCTCTCCCACCACAGCCGTGACATTCCCTGGTACCTTGAGGTTTGGTTCTCCTGGAGAAGGGACGGAGGTAGAAATAGGCACAGAATTTGGTACTTGGAGATGCTGCAGGGAAGTGACTCTGGTGGGAACCTTTGTCCACAAGCCTTCTTTATATATATTGAGACGGGGTCTCTCTCTGTGTCACCCAGGCTGGAGGGTGGTGGTGCAGGCATAGCTCACTGCAGCCTCCATCTCCTGGGCTCAAGCCATCCCCTCATCTTGGCCTCCCAAGGTTCTGGGATTACAGGCACGCACCAGCATGCTTAGTCTACATTTCCTCTTTAACCAGCATTAGAAATTAGTATGTTTTCTGACTACATAAGCAATGCAATTGTGTGTCTAGGTAATAATTATTATTGATGAGCACCATGGTCAATCCAGAGTCTATCATAGCCCATGGATTCTTGCACGTGGACTTCAGTTTGCTTTCCTCACTCTTCCTTCTCTTCTAGACTCAATACAAAGAGCTATCTGCAGTCCTGGACTTCAGCTGATGCCTGCACAGAGATCCATGCTCTTACTAGTAGGTGGTCCCATGTTTGGTATTCCGAGTGTAGGATGCATGTTACAGGTGTGAAAATGTGACCTCTGGACGGGTGGGCTCCCTCCTGAGGTCCAGCCTAGCAGCGTGGAGGCAGGTGAGAGAGGAGGAGGAGTGGCTGGGGATGCGGCTGCTGGCTGGAGAGGTCTTAGAGCTTTCTCCCTCTCCGTTCAGCTCTTACCTTCGATAATCTTGATCTCCACAGTGGTCCTCCAGCGAGTATCGCCGTTGGTCAGACACCAGTAGAAGCCGGCGTCCTGGCTGGTGAGCTGGTTGAGGATGACGGTGTAGGTGCCGTTGCCAGGCTCCTGGTGCAGGACAAGCCGGCCCTTGTACTGCTCCTTAACCATCCTGTCGCTCTCCACTAGCAGCGGGCAGTGGCCATTCTGGGCCCCTTCCCAGCGACACCAGTACTTGATGCTTTTGCTTTCCTTAGGGTTGTAGGGGCAGACCACAGCCACAGAGCCTCCTGCCACCCCCTTCACCACAGTGGGGCTGCGGGGAAATGTGGACTCTGGAAGCACAGACAGAGATGAGATGGGAGGACGGTCACTCAGGAAGAGCCTTGCGTGGCCTGAGAAGTCTTTTGCCCTGGGGTCTCAGCCAGGATGGGGAGTGAAGTTTACACGCATCACCTTACCCTCCTCAGAAAATGAAAAGGAACTTTCCTAATGTCACAGAGTCTGCAGCTAGAGCCACCGGGGCCAGACTCTGGGGACACAGAGTCTCCCCATCAGCCCGGACATGTCATTCTTTCCCCCCACCTTACTCTGAGCAGAGAATGGGAGGAGTTGAAGGAAAGAATATCAGCTCTTCTTCTGTGGCTTCTTACAAAGTCTCCCTCTGTATAGGTTTTTGTCTGTTTATTAGTCTATTCCACAAAAAAATGGCCAAATGGATCATTTCCAAATCAAGAAAATAAATTTAGAATGGTATGATGTAGAATAGAAACTATGTAGCACAGGTGACCTTAATTTTTGGGGCCCCAAGGGGCATCTCAAAGAGGACAGCCATTCTCCAGGCAGCTGCAGCTGAGGTCCAGAGAGAATCCGTGTGACCAAAGATGCAGGGGGACCTGGGGAGGATCTGGAGCTGGATATGGACAGGACATGCGGGGAACATAAGCCCCTTAAAGAAAAGTCACAAGCACAGAACTGCAAGTAATGGTTTGCTACTTCTCACAAGGGCAATTCTGTGCAGAGTGCTCTGGGAGAGAAGGGGCTGGGATTGAATTCTTTCACCATGCTGATGGCTAGCTAGAGGAGGGCTGAGTGGGCCAGATGGTGCTGATTCACAAATAACCCTACAAAATGTGGGAGTGAAACATTTAGAAGCTGGGGCACTCCAGTTGGAACACATTGAGACCAAGATAAACCAGTCTTTTCCCATCTGAATGTGAGGGTTGAGGGGTGCAGGGTGGGGCTTATCACTGAGACCAAGATAGGCCAATCTTTTCCCATCTTGTTCAGGGGCCAGGGGAGGGGACAGAGGGCCCATGCAGAGCCTTTCACCATCGCTCTGAAACGCAGTCAAATAAGTCCTTAGATTATCCTAACGCTCAATCAGGAGCATTACTCACTGCTTACTTGTTAAGCAGTGACAGCCATGAAAAGGACTTTGATAACAGAAGAGTATTTAGGAGCTACCACCAGGCAGAGGCTGCTTTTTCTCGCTGTCCTCTGCAGCAGCCCACACAGGCTCCAGTTCGAGACTGGTCAGTGAGTGGATGCTGTCAGCTGATTGAGACTGTTGCTGAATGAACTCACAGGGAGCTGAGCTGGGCTCTCACCTGCGAGACTGCCCCACCTCCTCTCCCTCCCTCTCTAGGGTCTTACCCTCATTGACGAAGAGCTGCCAGGCCTGGATGGGCCAGCCATCCTGCAGCAAACCGTCCGGGTGGGCTCCGCACAGGTAGCGCCCTGCGTCCTCCTTCCTCAGGCCCGTGATCAGCACACTGACTAAGCCATTCTTGTCCTTGGGGCTGAGCAGGATCCTACCCTCAAAGGCTGGATCCCTCTTCCCCAGGGTGTTGATTAGAATGTCACAGTTTTTCCCATTGCTCATCCGGCACAGAAATTTGGGCAAGTTTGCCACCTCAGGGCGCAGGGCACAGTTGAAGGTCACTGAGCCCCTCAGGTCTCCATAAACCAGTTCGGGCTCAGGCGCTAGCACTTGGATGGCAACATTCTTCTTGTCAGCCCCGGTATCATCCCCGGTCTGGCAGAAATACATCCCCGCATCGCTGAGCCTAAGTTGGTTGATGACAACGTTGAACATTAACTGGCCAGTACCATGAATATCAAGGCGTGTTCTGCCTCTATAGGGGGGACTCACATATTTGGTGGAGTCAATGACCACCATATGGGACGAGCCTATCATCCTGTAAAAGGACTTTTTCTTCTCAGCAGCCTCAGACTTGATAGGGCAGTTGATGGTCACTGTGCTGCCCACGTCCACTGTGTAGACTTCAGGGTCATTTAGGAGCCGAGGATCTGCAGGGTGAGGGGTACAAGGTGGGGCAAGTTGTGATTCTAATTTCTTGCAACATGGGACTATTTTCTATTCCCAGTTGGGGTGTGGTTGGGCTTATAACCTGGAGTGTCCTCCTTCCCAGAGGAACACAGCCAGAATATGTCTTCCAAGGCCCAGCTTGACAGCTGTCTCCTCCGTGAAAACTTCCCCAGCTGACACGAATCTCTCCCTGCCCTGTGCTTTCTTGATACACCTGCATCACTTATTACATCCAATCTGGCATATGGTTAATTATGCTCTCCATGGACTGGAAGTTCCTTGAGGGCAGGGACATGTTTTTCTCATGTTTGACCCCTCTGCTGTGACAAGCACAATGCCTCTGGGCAGTAGGTGGCCAAATGAATGTGTGTTGAAACGAACAGAATGAATGTAAATCCAGGGTGATGGATTTCAATGCACTACAGTAAAAGTTTCTAAAAACTACAACAGTCTAAATGTGGAACGGGCTGTCTCATGGAGCGGTGAGTTTCTGCTAAAGTGCTTAATCAGAGGCTGCATACCCCTCATCTGCATGTTCTTCTAGGCATCTGGATAGGGTGAACTCTAAGCTCTCTTCACCTCTTAAGATTCTGTGGTTTTGAGACTTTATCCCCACCTAAATGACCTCTGCGTTTAGTCCACAGACAATAGTATACATATCCCAAAGGAGCCAAACATATCTTCGGGAGTCCCTCTCATTTCTTTCCTCCCTTAAGACCTCTCTTTTGAGTCGCCCTTGATTGTCTCCAATAGCCTCATTGTTAAACCCTTTCAGAAAGATCTTTTCTTTTTTTCTCTTTCTCCAACTAGAAAAGGCTTGTTTGCAACCCATCCCTTCAGGATCTTGGTCTTTGGTCAGGAACTAACAATCTAATTTACCCTGATAATACTGAAGAACTAAGAGTTCCCGGGTTAAACAATATATATGCATTTTACAGGAAGCCATCTGGTGGCTCAAACATTGATGGAAAGGTGCATTCATGATGGGATTTAAGGATCCCTATAAATCTCCCCCTGCTTTTACTATCTCCTTAGGCTGATGTCAGATTTCCTTTTCTATCTATAGCAAACGAAAGAAAGCTTGTCCTATTCATACCTTTCTAAGCTGGGGTCTCCAGAAAGCCCAAAATGTTATAGGCCACCAAGTCCTAGAAAGGTTCACTCATCACCCCCAAGTAGGCCCTATGTGTCTCCTTCTCTTGTTCTAAGAAGTCTGCCTGGGGAGAGGGGAGCCTTCTGACCTCCCGCGGGTCAATGCATCCTTGTCAGGAAGTTCCTCCTCCAGTCCTTCATGCACCTTAGAGAATTCCCTCTAACTTTCGCCCAGAAGCCCAAGGAGCCTGGATCCTTACCCTGGCTGACCTCCAGGCTGACGTCAAAAGACAGGCCTCGGCTATTGAGGCCCAGACCACACTTGTAGTGCCCCGAGTCATCCCGGCTCAGCTGGGCAATCTTCACCACAAACGTGCCGTTCTCCGGGAAGTTGGTGAGGTTAGCCCTGCCTGCGTAGCTGTCGGAGACGTAGCCCTCCGAGGAGATGAGGGTTGTGCAGCGGCCGCTGGCTCCCTCCCGGCACCAGTACTTCCGGGTGTGCCGGTTGACAGAGGTGGGTGGATAGTAGCACGTGATGGACACTGAGTTACCTTCCACACTACTCACCTCCTGGGGACCAAATATGGGACTCTTCGTGGATACGGCTGTGGGTACAGAAGAGAGAGGCTTTCTGAGGCCCTTAGGAGGTAAAGCCTGTTCCAGATAACCCACCCTGAGGAGATGTGGTTTTCTACCTGATACATAGGCTCTCTGTTGGTAATTTATCGTATACCTGTATTATAGCTGGAAAATTGCTGAGGTTAAATAAAGTGACTGCTTTAATGATGATTAAATTTTACTTGTAATTCATTAATGATACCCATTTCAAGGACAAGGGAATGACAAATTTATCATATCCCTTGTTTTTTATTTTTTATTTTTTTGAGACAGTTTCTCTCTGTCGCCCAGGCTGGCATCCAGTGGCGCAATCTCGGCTCACTGCAACCTGCGCTTCCCAGGTTCAAGTAATGCTCGTGCCTGAGCCTCCCAAGTAGCTGAGACTATAGGTGCATGCTGGCTAATTTTTGTTTTTATTTAGTAGAGACAAGGTGTGTCCATGTTGGCTAGGCTGGTCTTGAACTCCCAACCTCAAGCAATCCACCCACCTTGGCTTCCCAAAGTGCTGGGATTATAGCTGTGAGCCACTGCGTCCAGCCATCCCTTGTTTTTTAAAACAAGAACGCCACTTTCATAGGGTGTTACACGTTTGCACTTGCCATGTGTTATTTCCTTATATTTCTAAAAACACTTTGGCAATGATTTTCTTTTCTTTTTTTTCCCATATAAAAATATTGAGAGCCAGGAAGCATAAGTGACTTCCCTTGGATTCCACAGTGGATAGAGATCCTTGGTTGAAATCACATTCTTTGTTATTCTCAAAGAGGATCCTTCACAGCCCCTGGCCTTGAGAATAGGAAGCGCCATTCCTGTCCCCCATTTCCAAGGCTCACAGACATGGCCTTTCGGCATTGCCTCTGTGTGACTCTTCCTCAAGGGAGTGCCCATTTTGAGAGCGACATCCCTGTGGATGAGTCTGACTTTAGCGCCCCCAGGGAGGTGAGCCCTGGAGTTGGGTAGGCTGGAGGGGTAGAGCTTAGGGAGTTGGGACCTGGCAGACACACCTGGGAAGACCACTAGCAGGCAGGTGAGCACGAAGAGCAGCATTGCTGGTGACTCCTGGGCGCCGCACAGCTCAGGCCGACTTCTTGTGTGCAGTGCTGAAAAACAATAACCACAAGATGAAGCTCCCTTTGTCTTCCAAGGCTAGTCGAACTTAGAGTTTCTGTGACACCTGTTTGGCTTTGTATCTCCAGCAACTGACATAAATCCTGTGGAATCAATCAGTGCCTCCACCTTTTTCATAACAACTCATTCTTATCATCCTTCAATGCTTATATTTCCTTAGTAGTTATAAGTAGCTTTTGTCTTCTCAACAAGTTCTTCTGCAAGTTCCTTTGGGATAGAGATACTGTGTTATTTGTTCTGTTTCCCTGCCCACGAGGCACGGTCCCAGGCACACCATAAGAGCACAGGGATGGCTCGCTGGGTAATCGGTTCCTACCAATATGTAGCCCCATCTTTCTGCTTCAGCTGCCCACCCCCACCCGCAACATCCCTGGGAGGTGAAGCGGGCTGACATATTTTATGGTGTGTTCAGATGAGGAAACAGACCCACAGAGGAGGTATAATGATTATTAAAGCTGTAAATGTAATGATGATGGTCCTAACCCCACTGATTACTCTCTTATCCTGTCCCAGGCCACTGTGTGAAATAATTTATGTGTATTATCTCATACAGACTTGATACCAGTCCTATAAAGTTAGTATTCTTACCCACTTTCATAGGGGGGGAAATGAAGGCTTAAAGGTTAAATACTTTCCTCAAGGGCACACAGGGGTTAAGTGTGTGGGGGTACACAGAATGGGGGTCGGGGGAGATTTAGGCCCAGCTTTGTCTGACTGCAAAGTCCATGTGCTTAACCTCTCCACTGTACTGTATCACACCCCAAATACAGCAGCATGCTTTTACCTTATACTTATTCGTGTTATTGTAGAGATCCTGTTAATTACAAAAGCACTGTCTATCATTTATGTTATTTCATTTGAGCCTTATATGTTCCCTTATAATAAGACAGATAGGTATAATCACAACCATTTTATGGATAAGAACGTGGAGATCTTGAGATACTGAATGATAGGCTATGTTCTCCCAGTGACTTGATTATGGGATTGGCATTAAAAGCATAGGTGTTAGGGTCTTGCAATCCTCCCTGGTAAGGCCTGGCAGATAAAGATGAAGAATCAAAGGTAAGACCACTCAGACGGAGCAGCCCTTGTGGACTTTGTCACCATCGTGGATGCGGCCCAGGCTGGGGAGAGCTGAGGGTCCCGGGGGCCCACCTGACAGCTGTCATCAAGACCCCAACTACAGCCTAGAGGAGAGAGGAGTCCCCACTTTCTCAGACTTCAACAGACTTTAAACTTTGGAGTTGTCTTGACAAAGAGAGTGTTAAATGATCATAAGCTTGGGCAGTAATGAGTGTCCATAAAGATAAGAGCACTGTAAGCAGGAGGCAGCTGGGCGTGAACTCCCAGACCTCCCACACCACCCTGGCACCCCCCTCCCCCGCCCCCGCTCCTTCGAGTCCCTTCACCAGCCTGAGCCAAAGGCAATAGAGTTGTTTATCTTGATTATTTCTTTGCTGCAGGGGAATTTCCCAGCAAGGAACCTTTTATTTCCTTGTGAGGATAAAGGTATTTTGTTTCTGCACTTCTTTGGAAGTGTAAGGGGAGGGAGTGGGAACAGATATGGGTGTCAGATGGCAAAGTTGAGGCTCTTTTGAGTCTGGTTAATTGCCCCAGACCTTTCTCACCAGGCCAATGATTAACCTGTGGAGTGGGGCCTTAGCCAAATGCCAGTCAGCTCTAGTGTGGAAGCACTCTGGGGACGCTGGCTGGGGCATCATCACCTGAGTGGGCACTGCAGGCTGGCATGAGAGATGCTCCCAGGTGGGAATGGCTTTCAGGAGGCCTGGAGGTCTCGGGAATGGGTGGGATGGGCTGACCGCAAAGTCCTGAGGGGTCTACACAGGGTGGGTGCAGTCACAGGTGGGAGGGCAAAATGCTGCCTGCTTTGAAGAACCCACACCAGCAGCAGCCAGCTTCGGTTCTTGTTCCTGTCTTTACCTCTAGATAAGCAAGCTTTCTAGTATTTCCGTGAGGCAGGAGTGGTCTTCCCACAAGCTGAGCTGGGGGATGCAGCCCTCCTCTGGACTTGCCCTGGGTTGCAGAGTCAGGTGCCAACTTCTCCAAGGTGAGGATCCTGACCTCCATCCCAGACTTCTCATGTTGTGACATGTTTGGTGGCTGTGCATGTTTGTGTAGAGAGGGGACATGTGTGTGCATCCATTACCCTCTGCACAGTCTCAAGCCAGGGATGAGAGCATCAGGCATGCACAGGCAGGCCTGGCAGACAGCAACCTCACCGGGATACACACAGTCCAGTCCTAGAGGAGATGATTGGCAGGAGAGGATACCCTTGCTCTCAGGAACAGGAGCGCTTCTTTGCCCAAAGCTAAAACTTGAAGCACAATTTCTCTAACAGCAGCTGAAAGGACCCCGAGCTTTCAGAATCACTGGAGACCCCTTTCTCTCAAAACCAGACTTTCTTCCAAACCTGGGGGATGCAAATCTCAGAGAGAACTCCACAGAGTGTCTGGGGCTAGATTTAAAGGATTCGCTTAAGGAAGGAAGAAAGAGAACGTAACGCTGAGCACCTGCTGTGTGCCCAATGCTTTGCTAGATTCTTTACCTGGGTGACTTCATCCATCAGCACAACAACCCAGGAGACAGACACTGTTATCTTCATGTCGCAGGGGGGATATCTAAGGGTTATAGGGATTCTTGATCCCAAGACCCACTGCAGAATTGGAATTTGAGGTCACTACCTCATTATCACTCTTTAAATGAACAGAGGGGCCTGCTTTATCGGGTTTTGTATATGCGATACTATATACATGAGGGCACGTTTTTCTCCTCTTTAAACTAGCAGTTGTTTTTTCACTGCTGAGGCTAGGCTGGCTAGATCGTTTTCATTTACTAAGTTAGTGTCCCAACATATTTGTAACAAATGTCCCCACAGTTGGATTGGGGCAGGAGTGTCAGCTGTGCTGAAGAATCATTTTTCTTTTTATAAAATGTATTTAACTAGCTCCTATTCAATTAAAGTGACTGCATTCAGGCCTCATTGTGTAGAGTCCAAACCTTTGTCCATCTAATCTCAGGTGTCCCTCTTTTTCAGAGGAAGAAAGGTCCCCTGGACTTGACAGGAGAGTAGAAGTCTGCTTGCTGGGCATCCTTTGAAGATAGAGAGTGAGCTAGTTACATTGGACCCACGTGGGTAAGAGAGGAGACAGGCACTATGGACTAGGCTAGAAGAACGTACACCAAGTCCTTTCCAGGGGTCTTACGTGTGTTAATGTGTTTAATTTTGATACCCACCCTAGGAGGTAGGAGAAAATGGGCAATCCCATTCCATGAGTGAGATAATTGAGGCACAGAGAGGTAAGACATTCTCCCCAGGTTGCACAATTGGCAAGTGACTTCGATGGGATTCTGGATCCACAGCATAGGCCCTTAGCCACTCTGCTATACCTCGGAGGGTCTTGCTATTGAAAGGAAGCAGTGGAGAGAGGAAGGAGCAGGATATCCAATCTTAGAGAAGAGAATTGTTCAGTTCTCCTCTCCCTGCCTTTCACAGAAAAGGTGGTTCTTATAAAGAGACACCTGTGGCCAGGCACGGTGGCTCACGCCTGTAATCCCAGCTCTTTGGGAGGCCAAGGTGGGTGGATCACGAGGTCAGGAGTTCGAGACCAGCCTGACCAACATGGTGAAACCCGTCTCTACTAAAAATGCAAAAGTTAGCCCAGTGTGGTAGCGCACATCTGTAATCCCAGCTACTCGGGAAGCTGAGGCAAGATAATCACTTGAACCCGGAAGGCAGAGGTTGCAGTGAGCGGAGATGGCATCACTGTGCTCCATCATGGCTGACAGAGCAAGACTCTGTCTCAAAAAATAAAGAGACACCTAGACCCAGGGGTAGGTGCCAGCAGAGAAATTTCTTCCTGGAGAATATTAGCTGCTGTTTATTTAGCACCTACCACATGTAGGCTATGTAAATAACCATGCCTATAACCGGGCATGTTGATGCCAAAGCCCCTTTCCACTCCACCACACTGTGTTGATGCCAGTGACGCTGGGACTCCAGCCCCAGCCCCTCCAGGGAGAGGGCAAGACATAGATGAAGTGTCTCTGCTGAGCACAATGCATAGGTAATAATTTTTTAAGTTAGATAGTTTGCTTTTTAAGTGATATCAAAATATCCTCATGACCATATCAAAACAGCTGTACCAAAACATCATCATTCAAACTTGCTGGGTGGCTTTATACCACTCACATAAACTAGGGAATGGCGTCACAAAACCAGCCCTGCCTACCTCCTCGTTTCTATCGGGGAGAATGAGATGAAGATGTGAAAGCTCTGGGCAAGTGGGTTTACTGAATGGAAGCCTGTGTGACTCCACGTTTTATCAACTAAAACCACAGAGGTCTAGAGGCCCTGGGAGACAGGCAGAGAGAATTGCTCTCCTGACTCCGGGCCCAGTGTTCTTTCTGCTACATTAGCACATTCAGGAGTGGGGAGAAGGATGGAGAGAGAATTCCACATCTGCCTCTGGGAAGCCACCAAACAACTGGCTTCTACCCAAACCCCTGAAACTGCCATCTCCTCTCCAGATGTTAAGGAACATATAATTCCCCTAGTGAAGGGGGAAGGTGATCGCACAAAATAGGAGCAGCTTCGATGGCTCCAGGCACCATGGCGATTGTACGAGGGAACTGGAGGTCGGGGACGGGACCAAGCTTGACCAGCTGCTGCTCTTGCGTGGGGCGGTTTGACAGCTGGCTTGGGATGCTGTCAGGATGGGCAAAGGGAGGGATGGCCCACGTCTGAGATCTGCTGGCTGCAGACCCAGGAGTAGCAGCGGGAGCTGACCATGCTGCCAGTGTCTTTAGGGGCTCAGCCCTACCTCACTCAGTGGTGCTGTGAGGACGTCATTTCCTCTACTTCTAGCGAGGGCAGGATGAAGTGATGACACACATTGATGTCTCCCATGGCAGGAATCTGCTAGAGCAAAGCCAGGTGGACTTGGGAAGGATTTCAGAGCTTCTTGGAAAATGAGAAAAAGGAGCTGAACGTGCCTTCAGCAGAAAGCCGCAAGTGGGAAACCTCAGAGACTGAAAGAGGACTTGCTGGGTGCCAGACTTTATGCACATTATCTGATTCCAGGTCTGTCCGGTGTTTGAGAAATCCTTGACTAATTAAACTGAAAAATGTGAAACAATTCCTATTTCACTCTAGAGGTCACAAAGCTATTTCATGCGTATTTTCTCATTTGAACCCACATTGAGCCTGAATGATAGGTATTATTTCTATCCTTGTTTTACAGATTAAGAAACTGAAACTCAGAGAGGTTAGGTGGCTTGCCTAAGGCCACACAGGTGATCACTATGAGGAGTTAGGAAGTCCGGGGACAGACCAAGCTGAAAGAGTACAGCTGCATATGCTCACCACAGAGGTCCCTTCCACCTGCTGATATTTCTCAGAAAAGGACGGGGGGGCTTCCACACACGTATGTCCCTACTTGGCCCACTGGGATCCGCACGCTTACTCCCCCACCACACAGTCACGCAGTCTGCCCATTGTCCTTCTCTCCCCATTGTCTGGGAGACAGGGAGTTGTGAATGGAGGGGATTGCCCAAGCCACCGTCCCCAGCCCTTTTCAGATAGCATCCCATCTGAAGAGCCCAGAGCAGTCACACTTACTTGTAGCCACTTCCTTCTCTCCCGTTGATCTGATTTCACAGACACAGCCTGCTGGCCAGTCAGTAACCCCTGCCTCTCTAGGAGCTGCTGGCAGGGCACTGGATGCTGCTGCCAGAACTGAAACTCTGCTCAGTGTTTGACCCACACCTGGGCTCTTAAAGGGCCACCCTCCCAAGGCGCCGTGGCCAGCCAGGGCCACGTGACTCTCACAGATCCCTTGCTTTCCTTTCGTTTTGGCTTTCCTGGCTGGCTCCATTGGCTTTCCTTTGACCTTGGGGAGATCTGTTACTTGGGAATCCTCCATCATTGCAACTGCAGGGTGAGGGACAGGATGTCAGCGTGAAGATGCTGTTCTGTCACTTTCTAGCTGCAAGACCTTAGGCAAGTCACCTTCGTATTTCTTTTCATCTGGAAAAGAGGGATGGTAATAGCAAATCTGCAGGTAGAGGATATAGCCAGATACTAGCTGTGAAAAACCTGGCCCAGTGCTTGATTGGAAGTTGACATCGTCTGATGGCGCACGGGCAGCAGGAGCAGTTCTCATAGTACTTGGTTTCAAATCCCCAGTTGCTCGGGAACCCTCTCCGACTCCCTAGGTTACTTACCCTTTACATACCTCCTGCAAAGCCCCTTTTACCAGCCCTAGTGCTCCGGGAACTGGCAGGACCATGGTCCTTCCCTTTTCACTCCCCGGAGTCATAAAAGACTCACTGCTTCTGGGCTTCCCTGATCATGGCTGACTTCAGAGTCTTGTTAGGGCCTGGGCTCTGCTCATAGCAAGGAGGGTGCCGACTTGTTGAGCTGGAGCGGCACCTCCTTGCCTATCTCTGTTAGTCCACGCGGGGTGCCAAGACGACCTGGTTGGGACTCCCAGGTGTTCCCCAAATGATCATGGCAGTCCTGTGACACAAGTGAAGCCCACACCCTAAAACACACACGTGTGCCCCCCCATCCCTCACCGCAATCCCCCACAGAAATGCTGCCCCATCCTACCTGTGCAGGGCTGACCCAGCCTCTCCCTACAGAGTTCCACAGGCCAAACACCAGAAGGGGAAGGAGAAAAAGAGGAACAGAGCCCTGAAGAACTCAAGGCAGCCAGAGCCCTGGGTCTTGTTTGAGCGAACACTCACTCACCTGTGGTTGTTAATGCACAATCACAGATTTCAACGGAAAGCAAAAAAAACCCATATTTTCTTTACTTTATGTAGCTTATTTCCTTTTTTTTTTTTTGGTTTGCAAACTTGGATTTTCTTTTTTTTGTTGTTTTTTGTTTTTTTGTTTTAGGTTCCGGGATACATGTGCAGAACGTGTAAGTTTGCTACATAGGTAAACGTGTGCCACAGTGGTTTGCTGCACCTATCAACCCATCACCCCCAGGTACTAAGCCCTGCATGTGTTAGCCATTAGTCCTGATGCTCGCTCTCCCCCCGTCCCCCACAAGTCCCGGCGTGTGTCATTCCCCTCCCTGAGTCCATGTGCTCTCATTGTTCAGCTCCCACTTATGAGTGAGAGCATGTGGTCTTTGGTTTTCTGTTCCTGTGTTAGTTGGCTGAGGATGATGGCTTCCAAATGTACCTTAATTTCAAACCCTAAACCTATAATCTGATTGATAAAAGAAAATAAGTTACCTAGTCACTTCCAGGCAAACTCAGCACAATTCAATGATCTCTCAGTCACTTCACTCCAGATTTAAAACTGAGTCTCATTATAGAGTTCCCTTGCCTTTCGTCTCCCTTCTCTCCTCTGGGGTCCAGTCTGGAGAGAGTGGTCTTCGGTGAGGGGGTGGTCAGTGTTACTGCTGAGGCAGTGAAAAGGAGTGACCCATTATTTTGGTTTTGCTTTGTCACGATGCTGTGCTGGGCTTGGGCTCCAGAAGAAAATAGTTTTGTCTACTGAGATGTAACTTGTTCTGCTTGGTTAGCGGGTTTTATCCTGAGGGGTGTGTGGTCTATGCTGTACCCTCTTAGTCCATACAGCTCCCTTGGGTGCGTCTTCCAGGCTCTCAGCCTCTCCTTGCCCTTCCTGTGTGTACAGAATGAGCTTGGCTGATCGCAGGCTCCGGAGGCCTTTGGGAGACCCTGTGCAGCAAAGCTGCATTTTTCCCAACACTCTTGTAGCCTCCCGTGTGCCAGTATTCCCATGTAATTGGGAGGTGCAATGCACAGCAGCAAGACTGTGGACCTCCAAAGTTCTATGCAGGATGGGCAAGCTGAGGGCCCCCCAATCTGGAACTTCCAAGCGCACCTGGATATCTCTGTCATTGTTTAACCCCTCTCCCCTACCGCAGCCGGGACTCTGCCCCATGGTGGTGGGCGGGAGGGCACCAAGACACATCAGTAACTAAGCTCTCCTTACTCGTCAGCAGTCTTGCTCCTCCCCAGTTCTGGGATTAATGTCAAGGGGGAGGATGTGAGGGGGACAAGATGTGCAGGTTCAGTGATGAGACAAGCCTGGTTCTGTCAGGTGATAGCTCCTTTCAAAGGGTTCCCGATTTATGCCTCTCTCCATTTGAACCTGACAGTCAAAATATTTGTAGGGTTCATTTCTTCCTTTCCAAAGCAAGGAAGGAAATTACATCCAGTTATCCAGGCTGGAGTAGAAATCAAGGCAGGTTCTGAACACTAGCGTAGGCATTTAATGAGTGAAGGCTTGCAGGGAGGAAGGGAAGAACACTCATTAAATCATTGCTGGCCAGGTGCAGTGGCTCATGCCTGTAATCCCAGCACTTTGGGAGGCTGAGGCGGGCAAATCACCTGATGTTGGGAGTTTGAGACCAGCCTAATCAACATGGAGAAACCCCATCTCTACTAAAACAAAATTAGCCAGGCGTGGTGGTGCATGCCTGTAATCTCAGCTACTCGGGAGGCTGAGGCAGGAGAATAGCTTGAACCTGGGAGGCAGAGGTTGCAGTGAGCTGAGATTGTGCCACTGCACTCCAGCCTGGGCAACAAGAGCAAAACTCCGTCTAAAATAATAATGATAATAAGAATAATAATTGCTCCTTATACTGCCTTTGTGGGGGCGGAGGACAGGTTGCATACAGATTTCCTTCCCTGCTTTGCTATTTCATGATGGTGGGTAACTTACCAGATATGTGCTGCTGCATGTTTTTCAATAGTCTCCAAAACTGTCTTAGCTGACCCATGTCAGACACACAGGTACACACACACGCCACACACACATACACAACACACACACAACACACACACACACAACACACACAACACACACACACCACACACACCACACACACCACACACACCACACACACACACCACACACACCACACACACACAACACACACACACACCACACACACACACCATACACACAACACACACACACCACACACACACACACACACACACACACACACACACACCTGGAGCCCACTGATCCTACTGACCCAGTTTAAAGAAAGGGGAAAATGAGAAGTAGAACCCTGGGAAGAGCCAGGGAGTTGAAAGCCTACGTCCTATTTTGAGCTCAGCCACACACTGGTGGTGTGATTGGACTCACTCACTTCCCCTCTCACTCTGTGGTTTCCCCACCTGGAACCCAGTGGCCCTAAAACAGTACTATTTCCTTTCCCTGGAGGAAGAGGGACTAGTCAAGAGGATCCATTGCCCAAATCAATAATAGTGATGATAACAGCAGTAATTTTACTTTCCAAACTTACGACACTTCATCTGCTCAACTCTTCTTGCTTCTTTTAAAGTAATCATACAAAAAAATTTACACGCAGAAGAGCAGCTTCTCATAGGACTTCCCTGACTCTGGGACTCAGCAAAAGTCAGGGTGGGGAAGTTCAGAGAGACTGGTCTGCGGTCAGAACACCTTTCTTTTGTTCCTGATTCTGCCTCTCAGTTGCCGAGTGGCCTTTGCCAGACCACTTCATCCTATAGGTCTGCGGGATTGTTTCTGTTCAATCAGAGGGCAGGGCCAAATGGTTCCCAAGGGTCTTTCAGTTTTAGAATTCTGTGTTTTGGTTGAGCCCTGTATTAGTTTCCAACAGCTGCTGTAACAAATGAACACAACCTTAGTGGCTTAAGACAACAGAAGTATATTCTCTTTCTGTTCTGGACGCCAGAAGTCTGAAATCAAGGTGCCAGCAAGGCCACCCTCCCTATGCAGGCTCTGGAGGATAATCCGGTGCCTGCCTCTTCTAGCTTCCAGTTGTTGCTGACATTCCTTGGTGTTCTTTGGCTCAGAGCTGCGTCACTCCAATCTCTGCCTTCGTAGTCACATTGCCTCCTGTGTATGTCTCAAATATCTGTTTCTCTGTTAGATGGATGGCATTTAGGGCCCACCCAGCTAATCCAGGACGATGCCCTCATCTCAAGATCCCAAACTTAATCACATCTACAGAGACTCTTTCCCAAATAAGGTCACATTTCCATGGTCCAGGGATTGAGACATAGACAAACCTTGGGGGGGTGGGGGGTTATTTCTAAGCCTACCGACCACGAACAGCTCAAGGTTCAGGGAGATTTAAGCATGCAGGAGCATGCACTCCTGCTCCCCATGGGCAAGTAGTCCAATTGAGGAGTCATTATCACATACAACACTGTCAAGGAATAACACAAGCCAGGAGGTAGCAAGCATGGAGGGCCTGCGTAGCCTTGGGGGAAGGCTGCTCTGGGTTCACATCCAAACCTTATCACCTGCCAGCCAGGGGACCTTGAATAAATTCTTGAATGTCTCTGAGGAAAATTATACTTACTCTATAAATATGTTATAAAGATTAAGTATAGGCCAGACCCAGTGGCTCACACCTCCAGTTCCAGCACTTTGAGAGGCCAAGGTGGGAGGATCACTTGAGATCAGGAGTTAAAGACTAATCTGGACCAGATCGCAAGACCCCGTCTCTACAAAAAAAAAAAAAAAAAAAAAAAAAAAAAAAAATTAGCCTGGTATGACGACACACCTCTGTACTCCCAGCTAGTTGGGAGGCTGAGGTGGGAGGATTGCTTGAACCTAGGAGTTGCAGTCTGAGACGAGCTATGACTGCACCATTGCACTCCAGCCTGGGTGACAGAGCAAGATCCTATCTCCCCAAAATAAAAATCTGAAAAAAGATTAGCTATAATGTGTTCAGTGACTAGCATCTAATAGGTGCTTATAATTCAGCATCAA